GATCTAGATATAAGAAAAGATATAGCACATTCTTTGATTAGAAGACTCTACACAGTAAAGATGTCAGTTCTCCCCAATTTGATATACAAGTTACCAAATCCCAGCAATATTTTTTTATAACCACAGACAAAATTATTCTAAAATGTATATGGAAAGGCCAAAGAACTAGAATAGCTAAAACCATTTTTAAGAAGACTATAGAGGAAGAATCAATCTATCTATTAAGAGTTATTACTCTATTTCAATTTTCAAAAACTATGTGATATTGGCAGAAGGCCAGACACAGAGACTGATGAAAAGAAGAGAATCCATATAGATATGTTCAACTGATTTACGAACACAGTGCAAAAGCAATTCAACGGAGGATAAACTTAACACGTGGTGCTGGAGCAGCTGGACACAGAGCGCTGTTTTAAAGGGTTCTTAGACCTGACACCAGAAGTAAGCTCCAGAAATAAAACACCAATAAACCAGACTTTACCAAAATTTAAAACGTTTGCTATATAAAATACCCTGTGTGATAGTGTGATTTACCTTAAGGAATATATATTTACTTTCTGTCTGGTGTTCCTGATACATAGATCCTAAAACTTCTGAAATTTCCTAAGTGATGAGATTGATAAAGATGCTTCATATTAATGAGGTGATATCTGGATTTCTCTGAAAGATAGGGCTCGTTGCTAAGAGAACCATTATGTGACTAGAAGGTTGAACTTTCAGTCCCACCCCCAGAAGGGACAAAACACCAATAGCAATGATCTAATCAACAAAATGGAGCCTCCATAAAAACCCAGTAAGATGGTTAAACAACCCATGAATATATATATATCTATTCCAAGGAATACTACTCATCAATATAAATGAGCAAATACCCAGCAACCTGGGTGACTTTCCAAAGAATTAACCTGAGTTAAAAAAAAAAAAAAACTCAAAAGATCAGACACAGCAAAATTCTATTTACACAGTATTTTTTAAAATAATGTAATTAATTAATTTATTTAATGGCTGCACTGGGTCTTCACTGCTGTGCGGGCTTTCCCGTAGGTGCAAAGCGCAGGGCTGCTCTGCAGCTGCGGAGCACGGGTTTCCCACTGCGCGGGCTTCTCTGGTTGTAGAGCAGCACCTCGAGGGTGCTTGAGCCTCGGCAGCTGTTGCACTCATGCCCAGGAGCGGAGGCTCGCGGGCTCCAGAAAACAGGCTCAGAAGTCGTGGCACATGCGCTTAACTGCTCTGCAGCACGTGGGATCTCCCCAGACCAGGTATCGAGCCTGCTGTCTCCTGTACTCGCAGGCAGATTCTGTAGCACTGAGCCACCAGGGAAGCTCTACATATTATTTTTGAAATAGCAAAATTCCAGAAAGTTTTTAGTGGTTGTAAGAAATTAAGGAGTGAACTGGGGCAAGAAGCAGCAAGTGTGGCTATTAAAGGGCAACATGAGGGATCCTTTGGTGATGGAACTATTCTGCACCTTGACTGTGCATATGTGTGTTAGCTGCTCAGTCGTGTCAGACTCTCTGCAACCCCATGGACTGTAGTCCGCCAGCCTCCTCTGTCCGTGGAATTCTCCAGGCAAGAATACTGGAGTGGGTAGCAATTCTCTTCTCCAGGGGATCTTCCCAACCAACACCTTGCTTGTGAAGCTGTACTATAGGTTTGAAAGATGTTATCACTGGAGGCAAATTGGTAAAGGCACATGAACTGGTCTCTGCATTATTTCTTACAGGTTCATGTGAATCTTTTAAGTACCTCAAAATTTGTTTAAAAAAATGAATGTGCATCTAATGTTACAGTCCTATCTTTCACAGTAGAACAGTTTTGAAGAACATGGAAAAATGTTTAAAAAAAAAAGTGACACACGCTAGCCTTAGGCAAACAACTTTAAAGAAAATGGTATGAACTGATTTACGAGGCAGAAATACTCTGGTTCTGCATGAATGGATGATATAACAAATAGACTTGATTTTTTAACAAAGTGATACATTTTCTCTTTCAAATAATGAACAGTGATATCAGAAATTATCAAAGTTTTCACAGAGTAAGGGTAATGTAACTGTTTTCTAGTAGCTAGCACAACATTAAGATGCAAAATTGCAAAGTTCAGGAAAATAACAGAGATCTGTCTTTAAATGGTGAAATTAAGTGAAAAGACTGCTGTTGCAGACAGATATGTAACAATGTCCAACAGAATTGCTGAGATATACAAACATCTCGGTGAAACTATACTTCCAAAAGAGAAATATAACAGCACAAATGTCAAATGGTAAAGGCTCTTTCTGAAACGCAAAACCAAGGAATCAAAACTGAAGGTGCCATAAAGACTTTCCTACCCATCCCCAGCATTTACTTTCACAGGCTTTTACATACATTACATCAGTGTAAAACTTGTGACCAATGACGCTAACCTCAAATAAAGTTTGTAATCTTTAGAGGATGACATAGTTGGATAGTATTACAGACTCAATGAACATGAGTTTGAGCAAACTCCAGGAGACAGTGAAGGACAGGGAAGCCTGGTATGCTCCAGTCCATGGGGTCGCAAAGAGTCAGACACAACTTAGCAACTGAACAACAGCAAAATATTGAGAGAAATGAATACAGGCTAAGGTTTGTAAAATATATATACTGTAAGATTACAAAAAACCTTAAACCAGAAGGACATACAACAGCAGCTGGCAATGGGAGGAGAAAAAGACTAGAAGAGGAGCAAAGAACAGGGCCTTAACATTCTGTAATGTTTTATTTCTTTTACATTAAAAAAAGACACAAAAGTGACAAAATATTGCTAATTCTGGTAGTCCTTATATGGATTACACTTTGCTACATTTTATATTTTTCTGTTTTTCAAATTTAAAAACAGGAAAATAAGAAAAAATCAGACTTACCATAGGGAAATAGAACAGAAAAAGGCTTTTGCAACTCACATTTCCCTGACATCCATTTTAAGAGGGGGGCCTCACCCAGCATAACCATATAGATAAAACCTTTCCAAAGAACCATTTATAAAAGTGATGTCTGTTGAACATGGTTTTACATGTATTTGTATTATTTATATTCTTCCAATTGCTTTTGTGAACAATAACACTAATTTTATAATATGACATGGATTTATATAAATAAAAATCTCATTCTATAACTCTTTTTAAGAAATAAAATTCTTGAAGACGTAATTATGTGATTTTGGAGTGGAAGGGGTGACCCACACACAGTATGTGGGATCTTAGTTCTCCAACCAGAGACTGAATTCAGGCCCCTTGCAGCAGAAGGGCAAAGTCACAACCACTTGATCGAGAAGTCGTCTCCCTGTGCTATTTAGGAATCAATTATAGAGTAGGCTGGCTACATCTACAAGACTAGTGAAGAATCATAATGGGATTAAAAAAAAAAAATTACAGGTATTAACATGTGCTTAAAATGTAACTTTCAATCTTGCTGGTTTAAAAAAATATTTCTCAATACTTCTTACTGCGTCAGTTATGTCCCCAAGTTCTAACATATTAATGAAGTCCTTATAAATCAATTTTATTTTTTATTTTTTTGATCTTTAAAAAAATGCTTAAATACTGGTCTTTATATTAAAGGATTCAAACGGATCAAAATTTTCTGTTTTCTGCACTTTGTAAGAATCTCCATTTTTTGAGATTTGAACATTAAAAAAAAAGAAGCTGTTTTACAGCATGATGAAATAAAGTCTGACATCAAGAATGTATCACCAAAACAAAGAGGTGACTGAAATAAGGGCAAGAAAAGCAAGGCTGGGCTAGGAGGAAAAAAAGATTAAAAAGACTAGCAGACGATCTATCAGTGAAAAAGAGAAAAAACTAGTGGGCTACATCTAACAAGTTGATGAACTCTCGGGAAGAATGAACCTTCAAATCCCTGGCAAACAGATTCCCTCTCATGCCTCCTTTAGACTCAAAGACATACATGTAAACCACAGCAGCACAAATACGGGAAATCGTACCTTTCAGGCCTAAAGTCTGCAACTGAAACAGTTTTCCCAGCTCAAAAGGTAGAACTCGTAACAGGTTGTTATTTAAATGGAGTTCCCTGTAGATGTAAAAATTCCAGGAAGTCAAAAGATATATTAACGTTAACAGCTAAAAATCAGCAATATGATTTCTAGGACTATAAATACCTAATACAAATTTAGTATTATATGCTAATGTCCAGCACAGTGCTTCTCAAATCATATGTGGTTAAAAAAAAAAAAGACACAACAAAAAAATCACAAACTGCCAAAGACAAACATTTATAAAACACAGGGGGAAAAAATTCAATTATTATAAAAGTGAGAAAGAAAAAGACCAATAAAATATAAGCCCATTTTTTAAGAGCATGATATTCAACAGACACATGTTGCATATCTCACTGCAAGCTGGGGACACACTCTGAAATGGCACAGTCCAGAGCCTACACTGGTCAGCACAGATGGGGGTCTCCCACACATATTTCAGAAAGTGGGAATGAAAATACAGCCTAACATGTAAATTGTGAGAATAGAATTTAAATGATAGTATCATGCCAAAACAAAATACTTTATGGTAGCTGCATAATAAGTTTATGATTAATATTTTTCCAAATTTACTAATGTTTCATTTTATAAATAATGGCAGCTATATTAATAACAGATCAAAATTTTCTGTTTTCTGCACTTTGTAAGAATCTCCATTTTTTGAGATTTGAACATTAAAAAAAAAGAAGCTGTTTTACAGCATGATGAAATAAAGTCTGACATCAAGAATGTATCACCAAAACAAAGAGGTGACTGAAATAAGGGCAAGAAAAGCAAGGCTGGGCTAGGAGGAAAAAAAGATTAAAAAGACTAGCAGACGATCTATCAGTGAAAAAGAGAAAAAACTAGTGGGCTACATCTAACAAGTTGATGAACTCTCGGGAAGAATGAACCTTCAAATCCCTGGCAAACAGATTCCCTCTCATGCCTCCTTTAGACTCAAAGACATACATGTAAACCACAGCAGCACAAATACGGGAAATCGTACCTTTCAGGCCTAAAGTCTGCAACTGAAACAGTTTTCCCAGCTCAAAAGGTAGAACTCGTAACAGGTTGTTATTTAAATGGAGTTCCCTGTAGATGTAAAAATTCCAGGAAGTCAAAAGATATATTAACGTTAACAGCTAAAAATCAGCAATATGATTTCTAGGACTATAAATACCTAATACAAATTTAGTATTATATGCTAATGTCCAGCACAGTGCTTCTCAAATCATATGTGGTTAAAAAAAAAAAAGACACAACAAAAAAATCACAAACTGCCAAAGACAAACATTTATAAAACACAGGGGGAAAAAATTCAATTATTATAAAAGTGAGAAAGAAAAAGACCAATAAAATATAAGCCCATTTTTTAAGAGCATGATATTCAACAGACACATGTTGCATATCTCACTGCAAGCTGGGGACACACTCTGAAATGGCACAGTCCAGAGCCTACACTGGTCAGCACAGATGGGGGTCTCCCACACATATTTCAGAAAGTGGGAATGAAAATACAGCCTAACATGTAAATTGTGAGAACAGAATTTAAATGATAGTATCATGCCAAAACAAAATACTTTATGGTAGCTGCATAATAAGTTTATGATTAATATTTTTCCAAATTTACTAATGTTTCATTTTATAAATAATGGCAGCTATATTAATAACCACTGATTATTTTAATGATGTGTTTTGCATAGAAAATGTAACTATGAAAGGCATCTTCAGTAGAAAAAAAAGATCCAATACAAAGATACTGGTAATATCCTATAAGAGTAAGTTTTGTCAATTTTTACATGTGAATGATAACTACTTTTAAATCCTTGGTTCTTAGAATTTAAAAGAAGCTTGGTTACTACTGAGTAAAACCAGAGGTTGGTGAGGCCATAAAATGAACAAGAAAAACTTGTTCTGAATACCTGTTATTTCCAAATATATCACATAGGAAAGGAGGCCCTTTAAGAAAATTTAGCTCAGAGGATTTAAAGTCATGGTATACACTCATTAAGCCTGAAACTGTCAAAGGGCCGGTCTGGAAAAAACAGAGGTTTTACAAAAAATAAAAAATCACCACCTATCACAAGGTCCTTATTCCTTTTTATTATGCAGTAAATGATAGAAAGCAGCAGGAAAAGTCAGTGGAATTTTTTTTTTAAAGGCAGATAATATGAAATGGCACAAGATTTTCCATTAGGATTAACATAATAGCTAGAAATTGGCTTTATATTCAACTTGAGTAAACCTCATCTATCTTAAAAGAGGTTACAGGAATTACCATTTACTAATACAGTATTTACCAAATAGGGTTGATGATAGCTTTTTAGTCGGTATCTCAAATATTGCTGATCTCAGCTTGGTCCTTATTATAGCAACTTCATAGATGAAGGAAAACTCAGCAAGGTTCTAAGAAGCTTGACCCAAATCACACAATTTATAAATGACAGAGTCAAGTTTCTAACCTGAACTCTGTATGACTCCACATTCTACCTGCCTTCTAAACTCCACACTATATTCCCCCACATTCACTCACTAATTCTAGCTTCTTTCAAGTCCCATCTTTGTTACTATCATGCACAGAAGCCATGGACAGTCAAAAAGGTTATCACTAATTGGGAATGACTTCCTAGATCCTGTATTAAGGATAAGGGGCCCCAGAATTTAGTGGAGAAAAAGCACTTCAACTGTGTCACAAGTAAGTGCATATATGGAATAACACAAGCACTTTCTATTTGTTTGCTACACTCTGTCTTAAAATTTTGTTTCAAATATGAAGTATATTACACAAAACAGCAATTAAATAAATGTTAGGCAATGGATCTATGTGACTTATGATTTATTAGCTTACATTCAATTTTCCCAGAAAACTTTACCTCATATTTAATTTTGTTTAACATTAAATTGACAATGTTGTTTCCTAACAAAGTGGTGTTTCCTAACAATATAATAATATTTTGTTTTAAGGGCATATAACTATGCACTGAGTTGAATCTGCATACCTGAGTGATACCATGTTTCCGAGTTCTGCCGGTAAACTTCGGATTTTATTAGAGGACAGGTCCAGATACACCAGATTGTGAAGCTTGGCAATGTCTGAAGGGACGCGGGACAGGTAATTGTCACTTAGATACAAAGCTGTCAAGTGAGTCAGTGACCACAAAGATGAACTTAAGCTTCTTACTTTTCCTGTAAAAGAAGAAAAATGGGACAAGAATTAACTCTACAATTTGGTCTCTGGATTAAGTAGCATTTAGATGTTTTATCGAGTAAATAACTTACCATACAAAAAATTGTGAGAAAGGGGTCAACACTAAAACCTTACTGATTCTAGAACAATTCACTGCTAGGATTAAGTTATAAACTCTCCACTTAGCAAACTAACCACAACTCATTTAAGGCAATATATCAGTATTTAGACTGCATTGTTATTTTTAAGAGCACATTAGTTAAAAGACTTTATCCTTTAATTAGCCTTAGTTATGACAAGAGAAAGCATGAGTAATTCATAGTAATAAGTCTAATAAACATAAATCAACAAATTTCAGAGATCAGACACCAACCAGTGCAGGAGAATGATCCGTTAACGACGAGAAACAAACCATCAGGTCTAGTATTATCCGAGCCAACTTCCCAAACAGCAGCACAGCCAGGGGATCCAGGAGAAGAACACTGATCGCCCCCAAGCACAGGATACACAGCAAATGTCCAGGGAAGCCAGGACAACTAGGATTTATAAAGGCAGAGTACCCGAGGGGAGAGACGAAGAGAGAGGTTGAGAGATTTGAGTGTCCCCCTCAAGTTACCAAGTGATCAGCATATGCATGCGAGAAACTGCCTGAGCCAGAGGGAAAACCACCCAAAAGGAGAAGAGGTGGTAACCCCCAGGCTCACACAGCGCTCAGTGAGGTAAAGTCCACAATATCCAGCACCTAGTTAAAAACTACTAGGTAAACAAAGAAACTGCAAAGTGATATCCATAATGAAAAGTCAGTCAATTAAGACCAGTCCAGAAGAGATGATGACAAAACCAGTAGAGCGATATTAAAAGCTACTTTAATTATATTCTATACTGTCAAAAGCTGGACAACCAAAGACAGCACAGGCGCTCACACTGAACTTCTACAGTCGGACACCATGGTGAAGAGGAAATGGAGAATGACTGCTAATGTAGTCAGGGTTTCTTCCGGGAACGATGAAAATGTTCTCAGATTAACTATGGTAAGGGGCGCACAACAAAATATATAAAAATTATGGAATCTGTACTTTATGTGGGTGAACTGTGTGAATTATACTGTTATTAATCATAGCTGCCAGCAAAAGAAAGACAGACAGACAGACACACACACACACACACATATGGGCAGAAAAATTCCCACATTAACGCAACGATCTATCTACCCAGAGAGAGATTTTCAAAAGTGAGGGCAAACTACAAGGTGAAAAGAGCTATGGATATGGATGGTAGTGATGGATGCACATTATGAATGTATCTAAAAAACTTTTCCATAGAGAGTATTCTGGAACCAGATGGATTCACTGGTGAATATTACCAAACATTCAAGGAAGAATTAAAAACAATTCTATACAAATTCCTCCAGAAAACTGAAAAGGATACTTTCCTGATCATTATGAGGTCAACATCATCCTGATACCAAAACCAGACAACACTAGGACAAAACTACAAACAACATCCTCATGAACATAAATGTGAATTTAACAAAAACAAATCCAATAATACATTAAAAGGGATAATGACCAAGTAAGATCAGTGCCAGAAAATGCTAGGTTTGTTGAACATTTAAAAAATATAATTTAAAAAATGTTTTCTCAGAAAATAAAGCATTTGACAAAATCAGTATCCATTTCTGACTTTTAAAAACCTCTCCTATCAGTTGACTTTTCAGTAGAAACTGAAATTTTTCATTTTTATTTTTAAAATAATTTCAAAATTATTTTAAAAAATTACAGCGACCCCATAGACTAAATAGCCTGCCAGGCTCCTCTGTCTATGGGATTTTCCCAGCAAGAATATTAGAGTGGCTTGCCATTCCCTTTTCCAGGGGATCTTCCCGATCCAGGGACCAAATCTGTGTCTTCTGCATCTCCAACAGATTCTTTACTGCTGAGCTACTGGGGCCAGATGTAGACTGTTATACAAAAACCTCGTGGTTACCTGCAAACCAAGTATAAATAGATATACACACAAAAAAAAAGTAACTGAAACATAACACTAAAGAGAGTCATCAAATCTCAAAGAGAATAAAAGGGCAAAAAGACCTAAAAAGCAATAAAACAATGTGCAAAATGGTAAAATTGATTATAAAATCAATAATTACCTTAAATGTAAATGGACTAAATGTTCCAACCAAAAGATTAGAGTGGGTGAATGGATGCAGAAACAATACCCATATATATACTACCTACAAGACACTCATTTCAGAACTAATGACACACACAAAGTGAGTAAATGAAAAAAGGAAGTCTATGCAAAATGGAAACCAAAAGAAAACAAGAGTAGTGATACTTTTATCATACCAAAAAAAAACCCTTTAAAATACAGACTGTTAGAAAAGACAAAAAAGGACACCACATAATGATTAAAGGATCAATCCAGGAATGTTATGTAACAATTGTAAACATATATGTACTCAACACAGGAGCATCTCAATACATAAGGCAAATACTAACACAGTATTGACCAGAGACACATTAATATGTCTTTTGTTACCTGTGCGTTATTGACCAGAAAGAGCAATACAGTTTTAGAGAGTGGTACAATTAACATCACTGTGCAAAGTTGTTAGAACTTAAAACTGATCAAGGGTTCATTATACAACTTGTGATTGTCATTATCATTCACATTTTGCCCCATTAAATTTTGTTCCAACCTTCTGAATATTATAAACACAAGTTTATTACTGTAAAACTATCAGAAATGACATATCACAAAATTTCTCATTTGAAAAAGAGCCCCCTTCAAAGATCCACCTTGTTAAATCAGGTAAAATAAAAGAACATGTTCTAGAGGAAATAATACCCACAGGACTGAAAAAGAATCCTGCCAGAAAGTGGAGAGTCTGCTCTTCCCAGGAAAGCACAGTGAAATGGTATATTTGTAACAGATGTTCTGTTCCTCTGCACAGAGATGCCTGCTGTACTGTCTATCACACACTAACAAAATATTAGAAGGCTTTAGTAACACATGTACAAAGTTTCAAATAAATACATTAAGTGCAAAAAAAACCCTTGTTGATATTTACTCAAACATGAGCATCTCAACATTCACTTACATAACAAATCACCAGTCACAGGTGTTAGCTTCTGTAAAAATTCCTCTGGTCAATAAAGTGTCAACAGACATAAAAGGAGAAATCAACAGTAACAACCGACAAGGCATCAGTTGTTGACACATTAGACAAACTGACTTAATTGATAAACATATAGAGCATTCCATCTGAAAGCAGTAGAATAAACACTCTTTTCAAGAGCACAGGAACATTCCCAGGTTCTGGAAGACCCCACGTGCCTCGGAGCAAAAGAGCCCGTGTGCTACAACTACAGAGCCTGTGCTCTAGAGCCTGAGGACAGCAGCCTACGAAGCCCACACACCCCAGAGCCTGTGCGACAAAAGAAGCTACTGCAACGAGAAGCCGAGCAACACAATGCATAGCAGACCCCACTCACGGTCAACTGGAGAAAGTCCGCATGCAGCAGCAATGAAGACCCAACACAGCCAAAAATAAATAAATGAATGAATACATCTTTTAAAAAATCATAGGATTATCTCAACAGATGCAAAAACACTTTTGATAAAATTCAAATCCATTTATGACAAAAATCTCTCCAGAGATTATGGGTATAAAGAACCTACCTCAACACAAAAAAAGGTCATATATAACAAACCCACAGCTAGCATCATACTCAACTGTGAAAAGCTGCAAGCATTCCCTCTAAGATAGGGATCCCCAAACCTCACACTGGTCCATGGCCTGTTAGGAACTGGGTTGCACAGCAGGAGGTGAATGGCTGGGGTAGCAAGGGAAGCTTCATCTGTATTTACAACTTCTCCCCATTGCTGACATCACCATCTGAGTTCCACCTCCTATCAGATCAGCAGTGGCATTAAGAGTCTCAAAGCAGCATGAACCCTACCGTTAATTGCACATGCAAGGGATCTATGTTGTGAACGCCTTATGAGAGTCTGAGGTGGAGCTGAGGCAGTGATGCTAGCACTGAAGAGCAGCTGCAAATACAGATTATCATCAGCAGAGAGGTTTGACTGCACAGAGACCAAAATAAATCAACTGTTTGCAGACTCCTATCAAATCCCTATCAGTGAGTGGCAAGTGACAATTAAGCTGCATCTAGTGTCAAGGTTTATAGTTGCAAGTGAGTTGACATACTTCAATTGTACAGCTTCATCTGGTGGCAGGCTTTAAGTCAGAATTCGACACTATCTTAGTCCATGAGTGACCCACCGATTCTGTGTCTTCTTCCTGCACTGCATACTGTCTCAATCAATTTTGGTAAACCCACAAGGTAATCCCAGCCAAAATGAGTAAAACACAAACAGTGCTGGAGAACTTCTTTGAACAGAGCGAAAGACCCAATGATGAGACAGCAAAAGACTCCAAAACTACTAACAAAAAGAAAGCTTCCTTTTTACATACTGAGTCCTATTTAAATTAGGGGTTCATTGCAACAAGTGATTCACATTCTCCAAGGCCACTTTATGTAATATGTGGCAACCAGTTATCCAAGAAGCCATGAAACCATGAGAACTGCTTCAGCATATGGAGACCAAGCATACTGCATTAAAAAAACAAGGCTTTAGAGTTAAAAAACAAACATGTAAATATGAAAAACAGAAGCAATTACTGAAGGCCACCATGTCATCAAATGTGTCTGCACTGACAGCATCATTCTTAGAGGCTAACTGCATTGCTAAAACTAAGAAGCCCTTTACTATTGGTGAAGAGTTGATCCTGACTGCTGCTAAAGTTCATTTATCATGAACTGTTAGGAGATGCTGCAGTTCAAAAGGTGGCACAAGCTCCTCTTTAGGCTAGAACCGTAAGAAGACGAATGGATGAAACAGCAGAGGATACTGAGGCACAACTGTTAAAAGGATCAATAAGTCACTCTTGTATGCAATCCAGGTTCAAAGTACTGATGTTGACAAAAGG